AGCCCTCCGGGGACTAGGGTCTGACCCCGAGGACCCATGCACTTTCTGAGTGTCTCCAACCATCTGGGCACATAGGGGACATCTCTCCAGTAATTCAGTCTCAGTGAGGAAGCACATGTGTGCCCTTGTGCTGGTCTAGGCACGAAGCTTCAATCCCATGCTTGAAATGATGGCTCCAGCCCCTTGCGAGGCTCCCCTTCTTGCAGTATGTTGGCATTACCACCCCTTCCAGCCCCCATCCAGAAGGAAGCGCAGAATTTTTTTTTCTTTATTTTTAAAGAAATGTCTGTGCCTTTACTGGTCCAGTGGGTTCCTTGGCCGGGGGTGGTGACTGACCCCGATCCTGGGCTGACCAGACTTGACCACTTGCGTAGATGACAGACAGCTCACCCAGGTGGTGGCCGGTCCTCTCAGGCTTGATTTCAGGTGCCCACCATGCCACCCACCGCCTGAGGCGGGTGATAGACCCACAGGTGTGCTTATACCACCTTGGGTGTCTCCACAAGAGGCACCTTCTCCACAGCAGCAAGCTCGGCTTCTGCGAGGGGCCCCCGGGTCACCACCACCAGCCACGTCATCTGCTCACAAGACCCACAGCACCTCGTGGGAGGGTCACTTTTTCTACTGCTCCTGGTGCCTATCTCTTTGGTCCTTCAGATTGCTTTCTGCAGTGGCTGTCTTCTAGGAACATTGCAGGGATCTTGCTGACTTTCCTGCCATGTGACTTGGACGCATCCTTGTGTCAAAGAAGCCTCGAGAAGGGAGGACATGGGTCAGGGGCCAAGGGTGCGGGTTCATGTCCAGAATGGTCCAGAAAATTTCAAATCAATTCAAAAGTGGGCAGAGCAACTGAAGAGCACTTCAGAGAGCGGAAGTACAAGTGGCCACAGATTATGGGGAAGGGCGTCAACCGCATGACTGCTGGGGAACATTCTCAGCAGATCCCCTCATCTGGCAAAAATCCTGACAGACCAACAATGCCAGGAGTCAGGAGATGTGAGGAAGCTCTAGGGACACACAGGGTGGACCTGTATGAGGAAGCAGTTTGGGGTATGTGCTGAGAGGTTGAAGGTGGGTGTCCAGGGGCCCTTTAGCTGTGCACCTGGGAGCCTCCCTTGAACCAGCCTGAACACCGTCAGCAGTGGAAGCGACTTGTTAGATACATTGTGGGCAAAGGGAGCGGCTAGGGAAGGTGAGCTGCATGTCCGGGGATGCTTCGGTAGGTGTAAAGTGAGTGAACTTCGCAACAGTGTGGTTATCTGGCATGTGCAGCTGCCTCCACCTCATCTTCACAACTCTCTGCTTCTAGAGACGTCGTTCCTGAACCCTCGAGCCTTTGCCGTTTGGGAGGACATCTTGTTGAAGGTGCCAGTACCTTTTCTAGCTGACTGGGCTCCCTTGGGAACGTGTGGGCGTTGCCTTCATTTCCCTGCATCAACTGCTTAGGACCTTAAGAAAGTGGAGGTGCCTAGGGGTGGTCAAGCAGGATGCAGACTGGGTAGGTCTGTGGGTATCATAGTGGCACAAGATTACAGGAGCCCAAAGAGGAGAGTGCCAAACACCTGCCGGTGTTGCTTCCTGGCACTGCCCACACTAGCTGAGTCACTGGGGCAGTCAGTCAGAGTGAGCCCTCACCTGTGCATGCGATAACCGAGAACCTTCTTCCTAGGGTAGAGACGAGGGTGTGGAATGCATTCAGCACAAGTGTGACTGGTTGCCGGTGCCAGTGGCACAGCTGCCGCCGCTGCTGAGTTAACAGGAGCATCTGTGCGAATCTTCAGGAGCACTGTGTGTGGGAGGTGGGCGTCTGGAGCTTTGGAAACTAAGGCCATACAAGCCGGTGAGAATTAGAAAGAGGTTGGTGCCTGGGACTGATGGTGGTGGCCTCAGTTAAGTTCGGCAAGGGAGCCCCCAACCGAATGAGAAATTACATAACTCCTGTGTTTGCCAGTTGTGCAGTGGGTAGAGAACCATCCCAGAACAGTCTTATTTTGCTAGTCTCTACTTCATACACACAAGTAGTCCTTGATAGAAACTTAAAAAAACAAGCGAAGATTCTCTACATTTGGAATAACCTTACCTTACACTGCACAGCAAGTGAAATTTAGTCCTGGCCTTGCTTACCAAAGCATAGGTGGCATCATGGAAAAGCTCAGAAAGTAGGCACTCACCAAATGGCCTCTTAGTCCTCTCAGTGCACACCTGCTCAGGAAACCAGGGCAACCTTATCCAAATTCCTTGACCTGCATGTCTTTCCTTAATATAAATGGATACGTTCAGATTGCTTCATTCCTTTTCTTAGCCATTTCTCCATTTATTGAATACTCACTGTGCAAAACGATGTTAACAATTTGGTGATGTGGGCCTCAAAAAGCAGGAGGTAAGGGGGTAGACAGATGGCTCCCACATTTGCTGGAAGCCAGAGTAGAGGTGCTGGAGCAATCAGGATACCTGACGGAAGGCCTGGGGTGTGGCCAGTAATTTTTTAATGGCATCTGGGCAGTTGTGAGGCCTGTTCTCTTGCTCACCTCTGTGACTGGCAAGCTTAGGCGAGCATCAAGTTCACCATGTAGGAAACGCTGGTACATCTGGCACTCCCCACAGAACCACATGTGTGGAATTGCTTGTTTCTGTGGTAACTAGTTAGTAGTAAACTATAACTAGCCAAGGGAAGTACTAAGAACATTGAGATTTGTATCAGTGGGGAAACGCGATGGAGCTTTCCAGTGCATTCAGTGCTGTTCTCTGATACACATTACACATCTCTGGAGATACACATTTTAAGAATCAGAAATTGGATAGCAAGTTTCAGATAACACAATGGTCTTCAAATGTGTGGATTTTTTCTGCAACATTGTCTTCTTCCTCATATTTATAGAACCTCGTGCAAACAGGTACAGCCACTGGGGTGGATTTTACAAATTAAAACTGAGAAAGTCCCCAAATTTTCTAATTGATTTCAAATTCAAGAACTTGACTTGTAAGTTTAACTTATTCCTGGTTTATCCTTGGCTACATGCTCTTCTGAGTGAATGAACGTTTGTTGATTTCTTATTCTTACTTAGCAATAAGTCTAGTTTCTTACAATAAACTTTATAGCTTTCCTAACATAAACCCAAGAGTAAACTAAAAATAATGAAAACACACCAAGGTAGGTGAGTTGAATGATCAGAAATATGATCATTCGCTTTTAAATTATAATTGTCAAATAGTTTTTGTAGCCAAGTGAATGACTGAAACAAAAATATTGAAGAACTCGAATACTGGTAGTTTGGGAATTCACCTGAAGAGTTCTCAGAGGACTGAGTTCGCGGTCTTCCTTGACTTTTCCCAAGTAGCTCATTCTCTGAGTAGCTCAAAATTCTTTCCATTTTTTGGCAGTAGCATTGGGACTCAGACATACTGGAGATTTCAGAAATGCAAGTTACACCAGATTTAGCAAAGATGAATTTAGCACCAGCATGAGCAAATGTGGAAAGTAGGAGCCATAGCTGGTGGGGAGGCAACAGGGTGCGTGCAGTGCAGCAGTTGGGAGGGTTGGTCAGGGCGAGGGTCTGACTCCGAGACAGGTCTGTGCTGGACTTGTACTCTGCCAAGGAGCACTGCCTGTGCCAGCAGTGAGCCCTCCCTCCCCAGCAGAGAGGGGGCGGGGGTCAGGGTGGGGTGGACAGAGAAATACATGGCTGCCCTGCTGTGACCCTGCCAGGAACTAGCCAGTTTGCAACCAGAGCTACTGAGAAGTCGAAAAGAAAACAAAGTGATTTTAGGCCACCCTCCACTTGGGGAAGGCCAGCTTTGGTGAGGGCCTGCCTCTCAGAGCCTTGCTCTCAGGATTAACCCCTTTCCCAGGAGTTCTTTGTCCTCCAGTGAAAAGTGTAAGCATGGAAAAGGGCCTTTTGTTCTAAACAAGGACACCAACACCACAACCCAGCTTCTCACCTGCATCCCGTTTCCCCCGCCTGTGGCCCTGACTTCCTGATCCAGAGCCCGCAAGCTGCCTGGTGGACCTTGGCTTGACCTTGGCCCCTGGGCCTGCTAGATAGAAGAGAACGACAGACTGTTAACACAGCTGCTAACACCAGAGTTTCCAAAGGGAATCAGGGACACAGGCGCCCTGGCACAGCCCGGTGTGAGAGAGGAAGCGTCAAGCTGAGACTGAGGCTTGAAGAGGCCAGGGTGGCGGAGAGGTTGCTGTGCCTTTAAGTAGAAATAGCACATTTGCCAAAGGAAGCTGCTTGGAAATTTTTCCAGATCAGTCTGTTTTTCTGGCAAGGAAGCAGAGGCTCCACAGAACCTGTTCAGGGTTTCGCAGCTGACAGGGTGGGTGGGTTCAGAGCCTCGATGGTGACGGTCAGCATATCTGCGGGGCTGACTCCGTCCCCTCCACTGGAGGGGGCATGCATGTAGCAGGATAGTGGCCACCTTTCCCAAGGGGCTTGGGGCAAGCAGGTGATTTCCCCACGTGGACTGCCTAAACTGGGCCCCACATACTTGTGTGTTTCAGAATGCTGAAACAGCCAGCTGACATGTGCGAGGGCAGGAAGGAGAGGCCCAGTGCTGCTTGCATCCAGAATCACGCTGGTCGTTTTTTAGAAAATCACCTTATAGCACCACAGGTCGCGGTTGGCCACTAAATGAATTTGCTGCAAACTTGAAAAAAACTCGTCTAGAGGGCCATGGCCTGTAATGTAATCATAAAAGTTTTGGTGGGTGTGAGTGAATGGGGTGGGGGGGGGGAATTTTGTGTGTCTACTAGGTCCACATCTGTAAGTAAGCATTTATAGAGTGGGGGATTCTAAGGGGGCGTCCCTGTAGATGCCTGGCTGGTGGGAGGACTTCACGCCCGAGTTCCGCTGACAACTGACGTCCACGTGCAGCCTCTTCTAATTAACCCAGCCACTCAGTTACCATGGAACAACAGCTAATGGGGACCCAGATCCTGTGCCCCCCACCCCGGAGTGGCCTGTCAGCTTTGTTTTGGGTAGGAGGACTAACAGCACTTTTCCTAGTTCCGTTTATTTATATTCTTTAGTTCTGCGCACACTTTGGGGGTTGATGTCTAAGGATAGATCTGTACTGAAACAGCCAGCTGACATGTGCGAGGGCAGGAAGGAGAGGCCCAGTGCTGCCGGACTGTCCCGTACACCAGCTGCAACTCCCACCTGATCCTCCCTCTGAGGGGTTAATAACACCCCTATGGGACACCCGCCTTCAGCGCGACACCAAATAGGACTCTGGCCGCAGTCCATCGACGCAGTCTGATGTGTGTTCTTTTATATGGTTTCCTTCATTTTAATACTTCATGATTTTTCTATCAAATACTTCTTTATAAACAAAAGGGGGGAAATCAAGTATTTTAACATGACAGAGTATAAATACTGGCTTTAGATTTCCATCACTTCATTTAGAAAGCTCATGTTGAGGTGGCCGCAGGTATGGTTGTCGGGGGCTGGTACGGAGCGTGAGTCTGGAGAAGCAGGAGGGTCAGTGTGGCCGGCCTTCAGCCAGGCACCTGGTGCTTCAGACCACACACCCGGGGCCTCAAATATGCCTTCTTTAAAAAACCCCAGAACACACTGAGGACACGCCTCGCTCTGCTCTGGCCTTGCTCGGCACATCTGGACACGTGGCAGAGCAGGCGGGTGACAAAGTGCTTGGACTCAGTGGAACTGCCAGGTGCCTCGCCCCTCGGGACGTGAGACCCAGGGGAGGGAAGGACAGGCTTGGCACGGTCCCTGCAGACTGCACCTAAGTCAGCTGCATGACTGGCCTCCCCTGCCCACAGCAGGGAGCACTGCGCGTGGGACTGGCGTGGGCTGGCTGTTTATGCCATCACCTGCTGCACCCCTGCTTGGTCCGGGGGGCAGTGCCGGTGCCCACAGTGCATCTTCTTTATTAGGCGTCGAAGCTTGCTGGGGAAGTTCCTGTTGATGTAGCGGTAAAGGAGGGGTGTCACAGAACTACTGGAGAAGGCCAGGAACTTGGACAGATCCTTCGTGAAGAGCAATATCCCCAGGTAGTGCCCATCCACAGGCTTCCCCCGGGAGGCGAGCAGTGTGTGTCCCAGGAGGCTCAGGTAGTGGGGTGTCCAGAGCCCAAAATGAGTGCACACGGTGGCCACCAGAAGCCTGTGCACTGAGGGGTCCAGCCGCCCTGAGTCCCGGTCGAGGGGCGTGTCTTCCTTCTGCAGTCTGGAGATGAGCACCAGTGCGTAGACCACGGCCAGGGCAGGCACCAAGTACCCAATGAAGACCAGGATGGCGTCCGCGGCCTGTGTGTCCTGCATCTTTGTGCACTCAGCCATCCTTGTGGTCACGTGGCTGCAGATGTAGAAGAGCAGGGAGGAGAAGCTGGTCAGCAGGGCCCCTCCCCAGACAAAGCCACACACGTGCCTGGTGTTGTAGACACTGGACATGTAGGTGCGTGGCAGTGCCCGCTCGATGTAGTAATCCAGGCTGAGCAGGGCCGTGGAGTACATGGTCACCAGCGAGGAGACGTTGAACAGCACCAGCAGTGTCACGTGCGCCTCACTGCTGAGGCCCCACAGGGCCCACCTCGAGGCGGTGGGGCTCAGCAGGTACACGGGAGCCAGGGCGCTAAGGACCAGACCGGCCACAGCCATGTTCACAAAGTAGACGTCGGGCATGGTCATGCTGCCCTTGTCACACAGGTTGACCAAGACCAGCAGGGCATTGTAGCTCAGGCCGACTGGGAAGCCAACCACCAGGTAGAGCAGGGAGAGGACGGACAGGACCAGGTGGAAGTGCTGACAGACGAGCGGGTCCTCGCCCCTGCCTGTGCCATTGAGCGGGCCACAGCTCCACATGGCGGGGCGGGCAGGCTGCGCCGGGCTCAGCGGGCTGTGGGGAAGAACAAGGAAGTCAGTTCCTTAGAACCCAAATTGGCCTGCAGATTGCTGAGAAGTGCACAGGGTGGGACGGGAAGAACGCCCAGCTGCTGGCATTGCACAGGAACAGCCAGCACTGTTGGCCTTTTAATAAAGACCCCTCCTGCATGTGTGCTTCCCGAGAAAGCAGTCATCACTTCAGGATGATGTCCATAAGCCATGAGCACGGTACCCAGAGGCCCAGTCTGCTGCAGGATCCTCACAGCAGGGGTGGCGGCCACACCCTGCCTGCACACACTGCTGATTTCCTGCACCTGCCTGGCCCCTCCCTGGCATGCACGGCATCATACCACCCTCTGTCCCGCCCTTCATACCTGTGTCTGGTGGCCAGAAAGTCAACCCAATCTCATGCTGCCTGGGTGACACCAGAACACCGCAGTCACCAGCCCTGTGAGCACAGCCCTGAAGACAGGTGCGCATGCGTACATCTGTGTGAGGCCTGAGCTGTACTTGGGGGAGTAGAAGGTGTAAAGCCAGGGTGGCTGAGTACCCATTTGTGAAGAAGAGCCACACTGCTTTGGCCAGTGACACGACACTGGAGTTGGAGCCAGAGCTGGGGCCCAGAAGTGAGTGTGAGGCTGTCAGGCTTTGACATGCAGCACCTGGCTCTTCCTGGGCTCTCAGAGGGCCCAGGTGGTGTTAGGTAAGAGAGGGCTCTCAGTAAAGTTGGGATTCTCTGGGGGCAGGTGCTGGTGTTGGGCACTGACCCTGCTGGGTGCCAGCAGACATGGAGAGACCGGGGCACCAAGTCAGGAGAGAGCGCTGGCCTGCCCCTCCCTCCCTGGAGTGCCCTAGCCAGGGGCAAAGTGGCTTGTTTGTTCTAGTGCAGATCACCAGAATGGCAACTGGCAGGTAGAGGGTGACGTAAAAGACATTCTTCAGAAATGTCAAGACTTCAGAGGAAAACCTCCATTCTGAATGCAGTTTGGCCCAGCCAAACCTGCTCTCAGAATAAGTCTTCTCAGGCAAACACACAAGACACACACCTGATACTTAGGGAGTAGCAGTGAGCCAGCCCAGCTGATGTTGGCGAGGTTCCCACCAGGGACAGAGCCCCGCTGCTGTGAGCCTGGCCTAGGCAGGAGCCTGATATGGAGCGAGGGTCTGTCTTGTAGCAGCTAGTCACCCATTTCCCACATTCCAGAACACTTGCTGTCTGCCCTGTCCTGCCCGAGCCAAGTGCTAAGGTCACAGTGTGAGCAAGACGGGGTCCTGGCACAAGGGGCATGCCCCAACATGGGAGTCAGTGAACAAGATGAGGAGCCAGGGGCTCAGGCAGCCACACACCCTCACAACAGGCGTGCCTCCATGTCTGTCCTCAGCATCAGACCAAGATGGACGGGTGGATGATGCCCAAACAGCCGCTCAGGTGCACACCGGTGGACAATGAGTTTGTGGGAATGCTTTTGCAATCCTAAGGAAGCCACCCGGCAGGCCTGATGACAAATGTCATGTGGTAGCAAGGGTGAGTGGGGTGAGGTGGCACTGGGTGGAGGTACTGGCCACCTCTGCCACCCACATGTCCTAGTTACGTCACTTGGAGAAGTGTTTGTGTTCCTCCACAGCATGACATGAGTCCATGATGCTAGGCTGCTGCCCCTCAACTTCTGGCCTTCGGTCCTCAGGGTCCATGTGGGGTGCAGGCAGGGTACACAGCTCTCTGGGGGCCAATTCTGCCAGAGAAACATGAGCACTGGGCAAGACCTACTTGATGGCGTGGCAGCCACGGGTCCTTCCCTAGCACCCACCCCCACAGGAAGCAGCTGGTTTCCCTTGAGCCAAGGGTAGGTTCCCTTTCATGTCACTTTCCAGATGCTCCTTTCATCCCCACTGGCCTCGGCCTCCTGAGTGCACAGAGCCACTCGCAGTGTTAAAGTGCAGCCTCCTCTCTGGTGTGCCCCTTCCCTGCTCGAGGCTCCTACCTGCTGGGTTGTGGCTCTGGAGGTACAGGGGGGCAGTCAGCCAGAGCCCACGTGGGCACATCTGTCTGCCAGGTCTGCTAAGACTGGACGTCTTGTGGCCTCTATGGACATTTCCCCCCGAAGAGTGTCCGGTCCTTGCCATGCCTGCCCATAGCCAAACCCTTTGCTGCCCTGGGGTCACCCCACTCATCACGTCCAGGACCCCTAGGGTCTACCCAGGTTAGACCCACCTCAGCTTATTTTCAAGCCCTCTTCCTCAGATGGGGACAGAAGCAGTGGGTCACAGCACTACTGAAAGAGGCTCCCCTGACTTCCTTCTGCTGCCTTCTGTGGGGGTAAACGAGCTGTCGGTTTGCTATGGCCCAGGACAACTCACCGATCTGAATGACCCAGCTGAGGGCCAGTTCTTACACTTTGTGGGGCTGGGCCAGGTGGTGTGCCCTGTGGACCGGGGTCCTCTCCGGCAGTCCTCTCCCCATCATTATCTAGTCCTTGGCCTGGCTCCAGCACACACTGGCAGCACCAGCCCCCCAGCTCCTTACCTTTACTCCGAGCCCCCATTTTTTATGCCCTGGATACAACCCATCCATGCCAGCACCGCAGGACAGGGGCTCTGCGGAGGGTCTGTGTGTGTTTCCTGGAGACCCTGCCTCCTTATCAGCAATGGTGTGTGCAGGGCTCAGCGCCCAGCGTGGAGAGGCACTCCTCTTGTTTTCCTGCAGTAAATTACTCACAGGACTTCTCCTTGGCAGGCACAGTGGCCCCTCCCTATCTCTGTTGACAGCGTTTCAAGAAGTGAGAGGTCATGCCCGGATGGACACACCGTGGAGCAGACGTGCTCTCGCCCTCTCCCTCTTGATGTAGGGAAGGCCTCGGGTCCCCTTCTGGGCATGACAACAGTTCCCCTCAGCCGTCCCACCCCCGTCCCCAGAGCAGTGGGGATAGATCTGGCTAAACTTCCAGGGCCCGTGTGACTGCTCCTGACACTCAGAGCGGAGGGGAGTTGTATTTTTCCTGAAGGATCTAAACCGCACAGACATTTGTCTCAGAAACCAAGGATGAAATAGTCGGCTGAGATAGTCCTGGCGGCTGTCCGGTCAGCATGGACACAGACAGCTCTGAAGGAGCAGCGGTGGCCAAGGGGGCTCAGAAATGAAACCAACAAGAGCAGGTCCAGGGGCATCAGCAAGTCAAGGAGACACCTGCTGTGTCCCCGTGCCCAGCGGGGCCTGCCCGGGGTGATATGTCCTCAGAATGAGCCAGGGCAGGGACCGTGGACGGCCTGCCCAGCCAGGCCCAGAACGTCTCAATTCTGGGGAAACCACCACGTGGAGCAGAATCTGTTCAGCATTTTCCAGACATGTGCCCGTGCCTGGCTTGTCAGCGGCCAGCGCGGTGTGAACGTGCAAGCTGCCCAGACTTGCAGGAGGGGAGAAGGTACCTGACGGCTTCCAGGTGCAAACACACCAGCACAACTAGAAAAGAGAATCACCATGTGAACTTAAAATGTTGCAGTTTTCTTATCAATTATAAGGATAATGTGATTTCAGATGCAGTTACATGCTACTAGTTTTCCTTTGCTCTCATTTCATTTGCTTTTCTGCCCCACATTCTTCTGGGAAGCACCTGCTGCCACCAAGATTTGCTTAGAGATCCCAGGGCAATGACCAGTGAGATGAACAGCTTCGTTTTACAAACACAAGTGTCTGGCATTTTCTAAAGTTCCATAAAGTTGAAACTTCTTTTCTTTGTGGAAATGAAGGTGGGTGGTATGGGTGGGAAGAGACCCCGGGGAGGGTGTCAGAACACCCGGCAAAGGCACATCCGTCCTGTCCTTCCAGACCTCTACCTGCTTTTCTGGGCCCCCTGTGACCCACGCCTGACACCCCCGGGCCAGCCCCTAACCTGTCCTCCTGGCTGAAGGGGCTCCAGGAGCTGGCTGGCCAGGGCGGAGGGCGTGGCGCGGCCAGGGCTGCAGGAACCCCTGCCCCCACAGTCAGTTCCCTGCACCCGCCCCACTCCCCTC